TGCTTATAGCTGCCACTTGGTTGCAGTGTTTAGTAGAAAGCTGCCACACCTCACAAAATGATCCAGCAGGATCTCCTGATACTTGCTATGCAGTCCCACAACAACCTTTCTTCTAACCAGACCTACTCCAATCCTAAAGACATCTGGAGTCCAACTGGAGTCCATCAATATCAGCTACAGTCAGGGTCCTTCATGCATCTTTTGGCATCTGTTACGCTGAGTTTTAGAAAATATTAAGGGAAAAGGCAGCAGCAAATTAGATTTATTTTTAAATCCGAACTATCATAGTGAGCTTGAGACCTGCCAATCTCACTGCTTTTTTGTTCTGAGGACTTCATGCTTGTCGAAGCTGATTTTCTCTGCGATAACACTTTGAAACGTAGAAGACTTATGTTCTGTACATACAAAGAAACAGTTCTGCTAATACAGAAAGAGGAGTCCAAACTTCACAATCCCCACTTTGAATCTGTTAGCTCTGATTGTATCAATTTATCCACGTTACCTAAAACAGAACTGCTCAGTTCCCAGTGATAGGACAGTCACACGCTTCAAACAAGGTAGATGCTCACACTCCCAAATTCTCAGTGACAAAACCAGTCACATAGCCACTAAGCCAGTACATTCATGGACAAAATAGCTAAAAATACATTGAAATATCAGCATTGAAATAGATGCAACTGGCACAGAAGAGTTGTCTTTCCTTCCATTATCTCTTCGCAGCTAAATATTTCTTGCAGTATTAAAGTTAAAGCAATTAACTATGGGGCTTGGACCAGCTGTCAATGGGACAACACATTCATTTTTATCAAGATTTGGAACCTACTGTGACATTCAGTTCTATCATCCCTGAAATGGCTCTAGACCAGAGTACAAGACAGTGAACATGAGATCAGAGCCAATCACAGCCAACTGACTTCTCACAGCCAGCAGAGTTTGAAATTGACAGTAGTTTGCAAGAGGCATTTTACCAACCACTTCCACCCCTTTGCAGTACAAAGTGCAGGGGGAATTGTAGTCCTCTTTTACAAGTACTTCAGCTGTTTACATCCTGCACGTCTTTTAGAAAAAAAGTATATACAGAGTTGGCTGCTTAACTGTAAGAGCACTCAAGATAAAACAATGAAGCCTTCCTGGGAAGAGTGTGGCAGGATTAGTAAGCAGATCTATGATGCATTTTCTACATAGTTTACAAGGCCTTCAAGAAAACCCCATCTTGACTGCAGACATTACACTTCACAACAGCAAATCATGTGCCACTAGTTCGAAGGTTACCTGATTTAATCTTGGACTCCTATTAATAGTGTACTAAAGCATAGTGCCCCTGTGAACAAATCTCATGTAACAAGCAATTTCTAGCTAGATATGTTAACATTTAGCCTGGCTTACCAGAAAGCAGGGCCTCAGAACTCAGCAGGTTTTGCTGCCCAAGCCACAAAGCAGCCACAGCATGTTCTGTATGCTTGGTGAGATGAATGATAAGAGCTACCAAACACTTTAGACACAAATGTTTTTCCTGCCCAGCCAGAACTGTTCCCTGGAACATTTCCTCCATCTGTCTTCTTCACAATGGATTTATTTTTGTAATGAAGCCTACATATAGCTACATCTATTTGCTCAAGTTTCACCTACATTTGACCTCAATTAAGGAAAGTTACTTGTGTTTTATTGTTTTGTTAATTAAGTATTTATTAGCAAATCTTAAGCTAGCATGTTAGTGGTCATGTTTCTTTCACATGAAGAACTGATTACACAGTTATGCCAGTGTTTCCTGTTCCTGTAAACCACAGCTCAAGAAATGATGCTTAAAGTATAATTTCAGTTGAGCCTGCAATTGCGGCAGATGGGGCAGGAAACTGAAGCGACTCCTCTAGCAGGAGGCCTGCAGCTTTCTCTCTCAACAAGCACAAACACGTGAACCACTTTCTGCAACGTATAACAAAATACCTAAACTTCTTTATCTATTCCAGCTCTGACTGTTCTGTCAGAACTAGAAAGCAGCAGATAGCAAACGTGAATCCAGCTTAGGGTGTGTCTCCAGATTAAAAGGAGGCTGTAAGCACCTTGTAATGCAGTGTCAAAACACTTGGATTCATCCTAACAGCAGGGAACACTGCCTCATAAGCCTCTCCATGACATATTCGGGATTTTTGGTCTGATTCATGATAAAAGAAGTCATTCCACAACTGCAAGTCCTCATCAGGCTAAAAAGCCTCAACTGCACTTTACACAGAAGTCTCTTAACCTGAGCTAATTCTGTTGATCTTACTGAATTTTTTGCCTTTTTTAGGAAGTAACTCTTCACTAATCATTACTATTGTTTGAAGAAAGGCCTTCCAAAACCTTTAGTAAGTACTGTGTTCTCAATCTTTAAGGGTTGAATTTGATTTCTTTTAATACTCCAGTGTTTAAAATTAAAAGCAAAAATAAGCAAACAAACAAAAAGGAAAACGCTAAAATACATTAATCCACCTCATCTGAGAGATCTGGCATGCTGGCATTTAATACAGCAAGAAAAACAGAAGTCAATTAAGTATGTAATTAATATCTATTTTAAAACGCTAACATTAAACTACTTAAAAAAAAAAAAAAAAAAAAAATCAGGGTGGATCCTGTTTCAACTTCCCCTTAATGGAGGGGTGTGGTTATTTTGTTTGGTTCTCCCCCCCACTTCTCTCGATGTAAGAGATACGGTCTTTCAGTTTAAGATCACAAGTCCCTAGGCCGTTTCAGAACATTCTGAGTGAGGAAACATCCAGAGCCTTCCAGTCTGCTCCTTCCTGTTTCATCAACGAAGGGCAGGGACCAATTCTTTCTGCAGACAGGAGAAATTAAATTGAGAAGTAAAAAAAAAAAAAAAAAAAAAAAAAAAAAAGCTCCTTATTAGTCACTGAACTCCTGTTGTAACAAAGAGTCAAGTACGGACTTGAACCGACTTTCTGAAGTATCAAGATCTTTCCAGCCAAGAAATACTTGGAGTCAAGCTGGGACAAACCTCCCCTAGCAACCTAAACTGACTAATTACAGTTGTGAAAACCCCAAACTTCTCCTCTGCGCAAAGCACATGAGAGATAACCATAGATTTAATTAATTCCCCATCGGGCTCTCCAAAGATTCACTCAACGCGCTCACAACACAGAAGACGCCGGCAAAGCAGAGCAAAGCAAAAAGGCGCCTCTTTATTCAGGCATTTTACAGAGGACAGGCGGCATCCGGGCGGAGCTCCTCGCTCGCCGCTGGTCAGGCGGCCGCCTCCCGCCCGGCCCGGCCCCTCCAGGCGCGGGATGCTGCGGCGGGACAGGAAGCGACCGGCGAGGAGCGCGGCGCAAGATGGAGGGGCGGGCGGATCCCTCCCCACCCGCCGCATCCCCGCCGCCGGGCCCGCGCCGCACTCCCCAGAGACCCTTCCTCCCTCCCCGGGTCACGGCCGATCGGCGGCCGCCGCCTCCGCCGATACCTCCGGGGCCCAGCCACCAGGAACGCGGCGAGCCCGGCTGCGAAGAGCTCCCGATGCCCGACGGGGCGGGCAGCCGAGGCTCCGCCGTCCCAACCCCGCCGTGCCCCAGAGGAAACTCGGGGTCGGACAGCCGGCTCACCCTCCCGGAGCGGCTCACCGTTTTCGGCATCTTCCCGGCGTTTTGGGCACGGCGGGCCGCTCGTCCTGCGCTGCTGGGGTTCTCCGCACTGCTTCTAACGGGATTCTCTCGCCCGCCTGCCCCGGCGCAAACCCCACCCCGCCGGCGGCCGCCTTCTTTTGGGGCTGTACCGGGGCGCGGCCCGGCCCCGTTAGCAGGGCGCGGCGCTTTCCTGCCTCGCGGCGTCGGAAGGCGGGGCCGGGAGACGCCGCCGGGACTGCTGCAGGCCTTGCCCCGCTGGAGGGACCCTCTGCGAGGCAGCCTCGGAAGGGGAGCGGCGTTGGTGACGGCGGCTGAGGCCCACCGGGGCAAAAGCTGAGGAGTGGTCCATCGTCCCCGAAATCAGGTGCCCGAGAAACCGGGAAAGCCCCGGGTTCTGAAATTCATTTGCGTATCTGATGTCACTGGGATTTCTGGTCCTTACTGAAAGCATTATTTTGAACATTAGCTGCGAGTTACGGGCAATTGCACTTAACAGAATAAGAGGACAGCAGTGGTGGTGATAGATCCTTTTGTCTTATTTAGTCTGAGTCATGTGCACTGGGTGCAGCTCAGAGGTGCTGTGGTAAGTCGATGGTCTCTTTGACTCATGAGCACATTCATTGAGCGTGCTGTCATGTACAACGTTCTCATAGCTGCCTGTTTCACTATAAAGCACTCCACCAGCTTTGGGTATTTGAAAAGTATAATTGAAAAGCATAACCAAAGGTGCTTTGGCTTCCCATAGTTTGGCAGACATACCACTCCTGGTCCTCAAGCCTCCTCAAAGGCCATCACCATAATGACATGATATAAATGAGCTGTCAAATCCATTGATGAAAGACGAGGACCACTCCAGAGTTTCCTGTGGTATCTCTGGGAGGGAGCCACTGATGGACAGAATCAAGTTCCAACATTTTTACAGGGTTTCAAAGAAGGCATCTGTATAATCAATGGATATCAAGATGTTACAATCACAAAATAAACAAGAGAGTTAGGCAAAGTGGACTATGATAACAAAAGAGAAAAAATGGAAGGCTTACCCTTATGCTGGGCTCACCACAAAACACCAGAAGGAAAGATCTCCAGACCAGATCCTTCTCTACTGGTAGCCAGCTCTTAAATAGGTCTAGGAGAGGGGGGGGGGAGCCTGGCTCCACCCCTTCCGGCAGCGCAGGTGAATTGCCTTCAGCTGTGCTCCTCTGGCTGGCTCATGGCCCACCTCAGGTGATCAATCAGAGGTTCAGGCCGTGACTCAGCAGTTCCCATACAGCACTTCATCTCATTTGGGATTTTGAACATAACTGTAAAAAAAAAAAATATATATATATATATATATATTTATATATATATATATATATATATGTATATATAATTTTTAAAGTTAACAACTTGCATCTACAGGAAGAAATTTAAACATTCTCAAGAAATGTAATGATTAATTTTTAAGGAAATTTTTAAGGAAAAAAGTCACTGGCTTCCTAAGGGTCTATTTTACATAGTTGCCTTTTTCCTTTTCTGACTCATTTTTACTCAGAGTTTTTCATGACAGTGTTCCACTTTCTTTTTTTTTTTTTCCTCCCCCAACAGAAAATGATACTGACAGAAGAGCTCCAGAATAACAAAAGGATTTACTTGTGATTTTAACAAATCATAGGGGGTGTGCATGGTGCCTGGTTTGAATTCAGGATTGTTAAGAGGTTTCCCACTGATTCAAAGTTGCCCTATGGAAACTTCCTTGTCTCCTCTTCTTATGATAGGGAAAGTTGTGTTCTTTTTCTGTTGAAGCTTCTATTCCTTCATAAGACTGAGGTTACACTTTGGAGGATTTAGTCATTCTTTTTCATAGAGATAAAAGAATGCAGATGATAAAAGTCTAGCTATTTTCTTGCTACATTGAAGGAATTACAGTTTAGCATTCAAGGAACTGATGTTTTCATCATAGTGCTTAGGACAGTAGCCATGATGCAAAGGAAGTCCCTTGCTAGTGAAACAATTGGATCCAAAGTAATCATATTTGCACTCAGGGTGTGCTGGACATTGCCTGTGTACATAGAAAGTCACTAACTATATGTCAAGCAGTCTGTAAGCAGTCTGAATGGGTGAGACAAAGCAAAAGAAAATCTTCAGCATGGCAGACACTTCTTTCTCACCTCACACCACTTCTCTTGTCCTTCTCTATTGCTAGTAGCAATAGCTAAAACAAAACACTATTGATGCGATGTTGAAAGACAATGGATCCTTGTGACAGGCACCAGCCTCCAAGCTTTACTTTCTGACCTACTTCTTCCTGTCCTCTTCCCTTAGAATGAGACATCTGAAATGTCTATGCTGCAGGATGCTCCAGCTACAGTATCTTCAGAAATCCCTGCTGTGGATGTGCTGCACCAAGATCTGACCTCTACCACAGACCTCTCCTTTGCCAGCTGCTGAGAAAGGATTGTTGTATCAAATAGTCCATTTGCTAAGCTATCTTTAAAGGCCTGGCCATGTGTGAAAACAAACCCATTCATGGATCCCTTGAGAGCTACAGACAAGAGTTATCTTTCCTACCCAACTGAAGGATGAGATTTTAAGGGGTAAAAGAGTCAGCTGTCAAAATCTCCTCCTTGGAGGAGTCTGTACAGATAAGTAACAGCCTAGGGCCTCAAAAATGCCATTATTTCCAGCCCACTCAGGGCCTAGATAATATTCAAGTATTTCAGAATTTTAAGCATTCTTCTGGGAGAAGACCTGGTATTTCTCTGGGGATTTATTATCTTGGTTTTCTTCAGATCACATATTCTTTTAGATAGAAAAAGCACATCAGTGATGTGGTCTGGAAAAAAAAAAAAAAAAAAAGAAATATTTAGCATGAGCTCTTTCTTCAGTATATAGTTTTCTTGGGTTAATGCTGGGTAACTTGAAACTTTCCCATAGCTATGAAAGAATCATAGAATTTGGGTTGGAAGGGACCTTTAAGATCATCTAGTTCCAACCTGCTGCTGTAGGCAGGGACACCTCCTGCTAGATTAGATTGCTCAAAGCCCCATCCAGTTTGGCCTTGAATGCTTCCAGGGAGGGGGCACAAACCCATTGAGGACAACTGTCCAGTCAATTCCTTATTCGGTGAATGGTCCAGCCATCAAATCCATTTTTCTCCAATTTTGCAACCAGGATGTCATGAAGGACAGAGTCAAACGTCAAGTCCACATAGATCACAGAATCACCAAGGTTGGAAAAGACCTTCAATATCATCCAGTCCAACCATCCACTTATCACCAATAGATGATGTCAGTTTCTCTTCCTTTATCCACTGATACTGTAATTCCATCATAAAAGGCCACCAAGTTTATCAGGCATGACTTGTCTTAGTGAAGCCACTTTGGTTACCACCAATCACCTCTTTATTTTCCTTGTGCCATGGTAGGGCCTTCAGGAGGATCTTCTCCGTGATCTTGCCAGGCACAGAGGTGAGGCCTGTAGTTCCCTGGATCTTCTTTTTTTTTTTCCTTCTTGAAAATAAAGTTACATTTCCCCTCATCCTATCAGTGGGAACTTCACCAGACCACCATGATCTTTGTCACGTTGTTTGCTTTCTACACTTTAAAAAATTTTCAGCAATGGGAAGAACAAGGGGGAATCTAGCAGGTATTCTGGGACCTAACTCCAAATATTTGCAGCTCAAGTAATAGATAACACAGCTAGCAAGGACGAAATAGTGAATGGGCATAACCTTTGCCAGTTTGGGTGAAAGGCAGTGATGTAAAAATGCTCAGAAGGCTAGGTAGGATTGGAACAACAAGAGCTTTAGAGACTGACACTGCCACCTTCTCCTCAGTACAAGAGGATGGGCAAAAGTACCCCTGAAACTTATCAAGAGAGATTGTTTGTATGGATGATGGAGGGATTAACTCATACTTTTTTAACTGGACAATTCAAAACTTTGTATGTACAAAACCTAGAAAATCTTTTATCTAATAGAGCTCAGCCCAGCAAGTGCTTATATACAACAGTGACAAACTTTGTTGCAGAAAGGGAGATGAGCTGGATTCTTAAGCTAAGATCTTCAGTTGTGCCCCAGAGCAGCAGGCTCTTCGCGTGGTATTGTTTTTTTCCCTCTCTCTCCTACTGAGCTTCCTTCTCAGGCATTTGGTATGGGGTTGAGTTAATGGTACTAGTGTGATGACCGTGTAGGACCCCTGCGCCTTTCTAACTCAGAGATCAGGAATTCCAAAACTATAGTTAAGGACACCAGGCAAGTCCTTCTGTGCTCTGGACAGCCTGGTCTGGTTGTTGGCAACTCTGCCTGTGCCAAGGGGGGTTTAAACTAGATGATCATTGAGGTCCTTTTCAACCCAGGCTAAACTGTGATTCTATGATTCTGTGTCTCCCACAGAGCCCCTCAGAGGCTGAGTACTGGGCTGCAGTTGGCTCTTGTACAGGTGACCACTGGATAGGAGTCTATCAGGAATGCACTTACGCAATGAGGGTTTCTGAACACTTCAGAATGTAATAATCAGGAGTAAATGTATAAAGAGGCAGTTCAAGAGAATGAAAAAGGGCCAAGAAGGACTCCCAGTACTGAACAGGAACCAGGGAGAAGCTAGTTGTGAGTGGGTTATTCAAGTCAGTACGTTCTGGCTGTTTAAAACAAAATCATGCTGAGAGCATATGGATCACCAGCACCCACAGTGAAATATCACAGCTAGACTCCAGCTGCAAAGAGAGCCTGATCATAACAGGAAACAGTGGAGGCAGGCTCGTGGTGCTGTGATACATCGGGTAGGGCATGGTGATTGCTAATATTCAACCACAAAGGCTTTTAGTCCATGCACAACTATGGAGAACAACCAGGGCTTTTTTCTGTTTGGTTCATGGGATGACAAAGGAGGAGCTCTATGGTCAGGAAGGAAGGAGGGCTTGCAAGGTATATTAATCTCTTGCGGAATCAGCAGAATTATACCAGGGCTGAATTTGAGATAAATGAAGTGAGACCAAATTATTGTGGCAATTCTTGCCAAGTTTATTAGAAATATCAGAGTTCTGTGCACAAGTGTCAGTAGTTTACCTGCCCTAGTTCATACTGAGTGTGACAGAGACTGACAGTCTTCGTTGATCTTTCATAAGATCACAACAATTCCTGCAACAAGATGTCAGTGACATTATGAAAGAAAAGGTAATTTAAACCATTCATATATGGTTTTCCATATTCTCATTTATACCCCTTCCTCCACCCCCCCCACCCCCCCCACACACACACAGAAAAAATCACATAAGGTGATTCATTAAAGATTTCCCTGGGCATTATGCCAGCACCCATGAAAAAAATATTCAAAAACCAAATGAAGAATCTCTGACCATCCAGTAATTGTTTGTTGTTGTAGAAAATAAAGAAGGAAAGAATGTGTGGAGGAGGAAACAAAGAGCTGGGTTTTATGGGAATAGAAAGCAGTGAACAGGAAAGAGAGCTCTGCAGGGACAGCAATAACAAATCTCATCTCTTCAAAAGTCCTGTGGCTGCCATCTACACAGGATCTGCCAACACTGTTCAAAGATCACAGGTTTCTTTTTCATATAAAAATGACCAATTTGCTTCTCTCTGAGCAAAGTAAAAGTACCTGAGACGCTGCAAATTCACAAACCCCATACTAAGGGAAAATCAGACTGTTGAAATACTGTCCTTTTTATATATAAATAAATTAATTAAATAAATATGGTTTTTTTTAATATATAAATATTATATTTATATATTTATTTAATATATATACTGGGGGGGGGGGGGGACACGACACAGAGACTAGAAGATAGCTTTCCTTAGTCCTGTAAGCTGCACCACCAGTGGCGGACTGGATGGTTTTTCATTCTTTATTAGCTCAACTATAAAATTAATGTAATAATATTGGCTCTCTTAGAGGTACAGACAAAATTCCCATGTTCAGGTTTCAGGCAACAGTGCAAATGTCGTGCTATATTTTGTGTTAATTATTTGTTGGTAAACATTTACACACAGTATCTGAACTCTTAATTGAAAATAATTGTTTCCTGACTTTTTTTAAATGTTATATTTTTATTTTTTTGAGACGGTCAGCGCAAAGAGTGCATCCAGCCTGGCCCTGAGCATCTCCAGGAATGGGATACCCACACTTCTCTGGACAACCTATGCCAGGGCCTCACCGCCCTCTGAGCAAAGAAATTCCTCCTCGCATTTAACATAAGACTCCCCACTTTTAGTTTAAAACCATTTCCTCTTGTTCTATCACTATCAGATCATGTTGAAATACCACCACATGAAGTTTGCATAATAGATGTAGATAATCAAGGAGTCTAACTCTCCACTTCTTACTACCATCATGCACAGCAAAAGATTTAATTTTCTTCACTTGAAAAATGTTTCTTTACTCATGTTGCACAGTTGCCAAGAACAGCTGGAAAGTCAGTCAGGTACCTACCTGATCCACTTACACTGCAGATGCACAAATACTGTTTGGATTTGAACTTCTCAATATTATAGCATATCTATTTGTACACTCTGTTCTTTATAGGAAGTGGTGGTACATCCTGCTAACTTGAGAATTTCCTTGCCTATATGACAGATTCAAACAGAGTGAGAGAATAATAGACCCTGACATTGGTCTTGACTAAGGGTATCAGTAATCTCAGGGTACAACCCCAATGCTATGTGAGTGTGCAGGAATGAGCAAGCTAGAGAGCAGGTACCAGAGGAGGAGAGCTTTTGTCACCAACTCAGCAAAAGCTGCATTTTACCAAAGTCTGGGGCTCTCAAGAACACTTAAAAGCAGCCCTTGGTCTCTTGTGCAGATCTCCTTGTCCACTTATCTCCTTTAGGTCCAGCTGAGACAGCAGAACATAAGCTTTCTTACACACAGTCTGCTTCAGGATCCTGTTTCACAAATTTGTGACTCCAGAAAGCCGCTCACTGCCTTCTTACATACACAGGACGGCCCAAGCAAGTGACCTTTAATGTTCCCAGCCTAAGACCATCTCCCCTCTGCACTCGCGTAATGCTATGATGTGATGGAAAGTACAACAATAATAGCAGGGTAGCAAAGTCCGAGATTACAGAAAATGAAAATAAGCCCAAATGCAACAGCTGTGGATGCAGACTGAAAGGAAGAAAAGTTTACTTACCTTTGGAAGGCCTCAGGCATGCAGGGATCTCCAGAAGGATACCCTCACCTCCACTGCCAACCCTTAAATGAGGTCTGCATTTGCATGCACCTGAGCTCCCACCAGGTGCTCAATCACTGTTTCAAGCCGCAACTTAGCATTTCCTCTACAACTCATAGGCCATTTAATAGGGCCACTGTGGGAGATGGAACACAGTTATTCCTCTAAGTTATCTATCATAAGTAGCAGTTGTCTGTCCTGAAGTAGTAGCCAGTAAATAAGCTATGTGCCCACCCTCAGGCAGCCCTACTTCTGATGTTGGCAGTAGTTTGGGTTGTAGTGCATTCAGTTGCAGGCCAGTACGGCACGCAGGCTGTAACCAAGCTGGATTAAGAAGTTTTCACCCCTCCTGTTATCTCTACAAATAATTCTTATGGGAATCACCAGTTATTCACCCACTAGACTGTATTAGTAAGCTGTATCTACACTAACTTTTTAGTTCAGATCAGGAGTTGGTTTTTGAAGTGAATTTCCTGTTCACTGCACTTCATTTCCTGTCGTGATATAGCCTTGTAATTAGTAGACTAAATTCTGTTTGAATGAAAATAGGCTAGAAGATGTGCTCCAAGAATACACCTAATACTCCAGCAATAATTTGGTTAACAAGACAAGAATAGAGCATCTCCAATATAAGCTCCCTCTGCAAATCATTTCATGTCGATGTTAGATATTTAACAGCAGCTGTTTTGTTTTCCAGATCTGCCTCTATTATACCACACTACTTAACGTAGACACACTTACCTGTCAAAGTAATCCAGGATTGCCTTTGTGTCTATTGAACCTGTTTAAGCATTTTTATTAGGACAGATTTTAAACTACCTCAGAGCTGGTAGAACTAAATAGGCGAGCGAGGAGAAATGCAGATTTACTGTGGGGACAGTAACCTCCAAAGCAGTCTCCAATGCAGACAGAATATTGTCCTCAGCATCAGGAAACCCAAGGCACACCTGGGGTCTAGGCTGGCCAGTGCTGCACAGATCATTAAACTGTAGTTCTGGAGTTGGCTCTTAAACCCTCCTACTCTCTGCAAAATGCCACAGCCTCATCCATGGACTGAGTATTCACTGACAGAAGTCAAACTCATCCTTAAATGTGCATGATTTCCCAGAGATTTTACCCACAAGTTAGCACTCACACACAGAGCTGCTGGCATTGCTGCTTATAAACCTAGCTTCTCCCTACTATTCCAGGGCTCTTCACTGGCTCTGTGATCCAGTTCACACAGAGCAGAGCAGGAGTGAACCGTCTCCACATGAACATTAAGTCAGTGCTCCCCACTGTACTAAAACTTCATCAAAATTGATGCACTTCAGTCTTAGCAATAAAGAGGAGAGAGGAAACTGGCCCATGATTCCAGCTAGTGACATATAATATGGAAGATGATCTCAGCACTGTTACAGACAAATCACCCTTTACCATTTCTTTCCGTGGCATCATTCATTTTTTCCTGAGATTTAGATCTATTTTTGGAGGTCATAAAAATACACAGGGAGTTGCCAGTCATTTTTATTCCAGTGCAGGAACATTATATACAGAAGATATTATTTTTGGCTCCTGCTTGAATTTTTGTATTTTTTTCCTCCAGGTGAGAACCAAACCCTGACAGAAGATAATGTTGTCTAGATAACTATTACAGCTGCTTCTGTGCTAGGACGTGGAGCAGCCTCAAAACAAATTATTAATTGTAAAAAAATCTAGAGCATCATTGTGCAGGAGATGCCTGGGGCTGGAGTATAATCTAAAGTGCTCATGATACTTCTCCTACCCAGCTTACTCACAAGTGAAGGGAACTCCCTCCCACCTTGTTAACACTACAAAGTGCAATCTGAAGTCAGCATTATGTGACTGCGAGAGGCAGACACCCCCAGGCAATACCAATTCCCCCCAACACTCTACTTGCAGTCCTTTTTGATCCACATCAAACACAACGGTGCACCACACAGCACACACTGCCTCAGTTAGACACAGACATGGCAGATAGCATAACTTGTATTCCCTAGATTTTTACAAAGTTAAAAAGTTAAAAAGTTACAAAGTACTCCCTTGCCATTCTATCTCTGTTCTTAAAATGCACAGTGTTACAGTAGGTCACTCAAAACAGGGATGGATAGGTGGGTAAATAGATTGATAGATATGTAGGTAACAGATGGATAAGTACATGTATACATGCACACATACATACAGTGTTCTTAGAAATTTTGTCCTAAAAGTGACTGCTATTCAGCAATAGACACAGAGAAGCAAGTACTCCATCCCAGTAATGCCTGTTCTGTTTCAGGAGGATTCTTCTATCTTCATGGGGACTACAAGCTTATATTTTCAGAACAGCCATAAAGTTTTTCCTTTGCCTCACAGTTTTTTCTCTCACTCAACTAATTTCTGGTTTTCAAATTGCTTGTCCTGTTTTGTTTGTTTTTCAGAAAATTCCCTGAATTAAAACTACAAAAAAGACCTCAACATCAAAACCAGTCTTCCAAGCCTAAACATATTTTGAGACAATCTCCAAGCCTAGATGATTTCTCCCTTCACGAACAGAAACATCCATACTCAGCAATCCTGGGGGCAGAGAGGATTTGTTCACTGCTGCAGATGCCTCTGTTCATTGCAGGGGAGTTGGACTAGATGACCTTTAAGTGTTCCTTCCAACCCAACTGATTATATGAAGTTTGTACAGTGGTTTGAAAATACAGAAGTCCTCCATATCATTCTGTTTTAGAAACCATACAGCTATCAGCATACCTAAGTCCCTCTCAGTGAATGATTCCTTCTCAGCATACAGCTAATCATTAAGCAGAAAAGATGGATCCTCAAGAGCACAGGAAATATCAGAAGTCCTCACTGAAGCCAGAGAGTTAGATGGCCTTCTGACACTCTCAGGGCTGAGTCACAGCATACCAAACTTTTGTTTGTGAATGGGCCTTTGGGATTTCTGTGCTGAGAGAAGCAGCAGGGCATGGATCAAGCTGTGTCTTCCCTGAACCACAGCACAAGGCTTCACTAACTTGTCAGCAAGCCTCCCTGGACTCACAGTGCTCCATCTTTTCAGAGGGATCGTGGAGATAAACAGCGTGCAGCAATTTCCTATGGCACCAATTACCAACCATATGAGTGGAGCCTCATAGTTTAGAGTGCTAAAGTCTGTCTCTGCAGGGAAGAGCAAACTGCCTCACACAGAGCTCTAAGACTACCACAGAACACTTGTTGTCCTCTGCTGACAGCTACCAGAAGAGCACCGAATCAAAACCAGTCAGCAGGCACCTGGTTTGCTGGAAGGAGTTTGATCTGATGCATGCTTGTACTCCCTAGTTACTGTTCACATCCCTCATAGCAGGACATCCAAAATAAGGAACAGACCTACATGTTTTGAAACACATTGAGAACTAGAGAATGAGTTTGAGATTTTTTTGCTTCCTAGCTACACCAAAATAAGTATTTTCATGTTTGAAGTAATTATTTTCATTATTCTTATCATTGTAGACTTCAATATGTATATACGCTCACACTTACCCAGTTCCAGGACCTCAGGATTTTAAAAACTCAAAGCTAAATCATCAACACTGGCACTATTGCTTTACTTCACTACAATGAACGTCAGTGTTAAAATAATAGAAGACGTGGCTCCGTATCTCTGAAAGTGTTTAAACTAACGCTCGTGTGAAAGAAGCCTTAGTTCTAAACTTTACGCTGTACTGGATATTCTCTCCAAAGGACTGGCCCGCCATACTGACCATATTTTATTACTTCAAGTCATACTCTGACTATTGTATGTTTCATAATCCATGAAGTTTGACTTCTTAATCATTTTTGTCATTGGCTTTTTCATCTCATGCTGTAAATCAGCATTACAGAGATAAAAAAGACACTTCTGGTTAAGATTTTTGCATTTGATAAAAGCAGCAAAAAAAAAAAAAAAAAAAAAAAAAAAAAATAGAATGTAATTTACCTCCAACTCTCCAAGTCATTAATCAGAAGTTTTCCATTGTGTTCTCTAGGAGTTGAGTAATGACACAGCAGTAATGTGTTGTGTTGATCCTCCTCCACTGTGACATCTTTCTGCCTTCTGCTTGAGTTGATACACAAAGCGCTAGGAAACATCATAGGTCTTGTTTTGCTTTTGGCAGTTGTAACGATAGGGTTTCCCCTCATCTCACACCCACGCTGCGTGTTTCCTCAGGATTCACACCAGTAAGGTTAAAACTGCACAGCAGAGCCATTTTTTCCATTTTTGTTTATGAAAAGAAAAAAAAAAAATAAATCAACAATAAAGAGAGCAGCAACCACAACCTATTAGCCTTTTCTTTATCTACTGGCATCCACAGAATCACAGGGGTTGGAAGGGACCTCAAGAGATCTATTCCAACATCCTTTGCTAAAGCAGTTCATATATGCTGTAGGTTATTCCTCAAGGATAGCTGCTGACAATACAAGCATAAGCACAATGGGAGAAAACAACAGAGGATTATCCATGCACCCAGATGAGATTTACAAAGTTGCCTGCTTTGATTGTTAATGCATGGAAGAACAGAAATAAATAACCTCCTTTCACCTCCATACCTGCAGGAAGCTTTCTTGTTTCCTCTTATAGAATCATGGGAAGGGAAAACAGGATTACAATGGGCTTCAAGATGTCAGCCAGCATTAACTCATCTCTGTTTTGTGAACACTCAGCGGGCTGCAGAACATTAGATATGTAGACATTGCTTTACAAAAGACCAGACAAAATACAAGTAATAAATGAAGATTCACAGCTGAGCCAAAATAGTACTTCGCTTTTGACAGGAAAAAAGGTGTGGCAGCACAGCAGGGAAGGATAAAGGTTTCTTCAATCCTTGGATGAAAAGAATTGAGAAAAAACTAATCAAATCCATTTCTCCACAGAGAACAGAAGTAGATTGCAGTGAATACACAGCATGGGGAGCAGCACTGTATAAGCAAGTCATTCCTGTGCTGTGGGAGAGAGGATATACTGACATGGCGTGATCTTTTTCTTGCATGAGAAGGATCAATATCCTAGAAATACACAACATGGCATCTTAGATGAATATTCACACCACAAACTTATCAACAACCCACAAATGCTGAACTGTAAAAATTTGTCATCAGGTACTCGTCCCTGCTGCTGGCTGCTCTGCTATTTGACAGGCCACATCTTTTTACACATCTCAGCAAAAATCCCAAAGCTGGAATAATCGCATACTAGATCTGGTAAACTCAATGCTCAGAAGAAGCTTCCCCTCCTTACCTCCACTGCCAAGAACACACAATAACCTCCACCCTCAAATGAAATACAGAATACTAGAAATAAATTCAGGGCCTTAGAACTCCATAGCTATCCTGACAGAACCTGAGTAGTTTGCTTTCCTGGTACCTTACTTCAAGGTTCCTAGATCTTGATTCCAGTGGATGCAGAGTTCTGTCACAGCTGTGCATAAACTTATATTCCCAGCACTGCAAATGGGCAGCACTGGCAACGAAGAGTAAACTACGAAATGAGTGATAATCATCTTATATAAATAGCCTTGAAGGGAACTCAGCATGTCAAAGAACTGAATGGTTTGGTTCTCCGACCCAAAAATAGCAGAAATGGGACAACTCCCTTTTGTATTCCAGTAAATCCAAGGTAGAGCAATAATAGCAAAATTTACACATGGCTGCTACATTTGTCCAGTAAACTGCAAGACCATTGTGTTTATTTTAATGTCAGATCCCAGGCATGTTTTATTCACTAGACTTACTTTTATCATTTTTCTCGTTACTAAGTTTCTTCAGCCTTTTAAAATCTACCGTATGGTAAAACAACTCTAATTTGCTGGCAGTGTTTAGAGGTGCAGGATTAGTATAAAACTGCATGAAGAGAATAAGTTCTATTTTAAAAGGTAGTATTTCATTCAATATCAGTGCCTCAGTTTGTTTACATATCAAGTGAAAATGGTAACTCCCCCTGTTTTGGGAATAAATGTTTCCCTGTATTCATGTTTGCAAAGCATTTGGAAGACAGGCTGGTATGAATACAAATGATTACAGTTACAGTACCATATTTCTGAAGTTTATTACTCTGATTATGAAGAAAAAACCGCAGGTATCCAACTGTGGTCTGCCCAAATGGCTGGTCACAAACTATAGCTGGAGGGCGTGGTGCGTATTTGGCCAACTTCTGTCCCTCACAGAAAAGCTATGAGAACCCATTTCTGTGAACCTGAATCTATTCTTGCTTAGAGTGGTACAGACAAAACAGTGAATCAGGATTAACTGTAACTGAGACACAAATCTGACCAATTGAGTCAAATTCCAGGACAGTTCATGTATCCGGGCTCAGAATAGCTCTGCTCTTCATTTCTCAGACAAATGTCTTCTGATGTAGTACACAGGAAAGGAGGAAGAACATTTCACTGGCAGTCTCTGCTACGTTTGGGACTAGCTGCACCTTTCAGAATTATCAATTTAATTCCATATTGGACCAGTCTATATTATCTACAGCTTTTTGACTTAATTACCCTGTTCATAGAGCGGAAGTAGAAGCGAGTACTATAAAAAGTGGATGGCTGGAACAAATAGCTGGCGTGATTAGGGGAGAGCTTACCTCTGCTTGTCCTCTGCTAAGAGCATTTCTTACATTTCCGCTCTACTTTAAAGCGAGCCCAGTTCCAGGCATCAATGCATCATGAGGCATAAATGGTTCCTCTTTAGGAAAAGTAAAAGCAGTTTTTCCTGTTTGTGAAATCCCCATGTCGCCAAGAACAAGAAATCTTTCAAAACTCTATCTTTGCTGTTCACAGAGCTTCACTGCCTTATAGGGTCTGAATCTCCTGGAATCACTCTGGGGGCGGGCTGGGAATGCTGACTTTTCCTCCTTCTGAGTGATTCTGGGAGGTCCGCAAGTGATGTCATGGTACATTTTAGGCTACAATAACAGGAAATCATCAAGTGTTTATACTGGCAAACTGGGCTGTGATGTGATTTTCCTCGTTTCCCCCTCCCTGCTTCACCCTTACCACTGACTTCCTTGGTATATCTGCTTCCTCTGATTAAAATACTACAAGGTGACAATACCGAAAGAGGAAAAAGGCAAGCAGGGGGGAGATATAAAGGCATATTTTGAAGGGATGTCTCTCCCAGTATCACTCACAAATAGTGTATCCTCACCCCTCGCCCCCTGCCGTACACATGGTGCGTTAGTACAGCTGCCCAGGCAGAAGTCAGAAACTTAGCCTGATGAGGCACTAGGATACAATCCTCCAGGCTGCAGATATGAAGAAGAACCTCTTCCCTCCCCAGCAGAGGTGAATCACAGAACAGACCTCAGAAAAGCCTTGTTTCTGAATTTCTCTGGCTGCAGAAACTGTGCCACACAGATGGGATTGAAAGTATACTGAACAGGCTGATGGACTCCAAGGAAGAGGAGGCCACATTTCCAGTTTTGGGTCAGAGGGAGGATGCAAATTACCTATACTCGGAGTCCATACCACAGTGTGACACCCACACTGATTCTCAGTAAGAGGTCCTTGAGAGTGCTTGGTTTAGGAAGAATTTACATCATTGCTTGGACCAGGGATGTATTGCACAAATCTTAGATATTCTGTCCTTGCCAGTTTCCCAAAGCTGGTAGAAAAACGAGGAATTTACAAGGAAGTTCTCTGAACACTAGGATTCTCTATAAGGAAAACCAGTATCACTGCTAGGCTTACCAGCTTTTGAGCAATTTGTGTTTCCCTAAAGGGTATGACATAAATGTATTCTTCTGGCTCATTGCCACTGCAGTGAACTAGCAGAGCTCAAAAAACAGTTCTGAGCTGTGGGACACCAAGGAGACACTCAGGGTGGCCACCTCTAGAGTATGTACAAGGATGACTTGGAGCTGAAGGAGGATATACAAAGAGATAGAGGAGATTGGTCATTTACAGCAATGTGAAAAAAGCAGCAAATATTAGAGAAGTTCACTGAAAAGGAAGAAGCATAAGAAGTATACTTCAATATAAGCTGGAGCATCCTTTCTACACTCTCTGACAAGATTAATCATAGAATGCCTTTGGTTGAAAGGAACCTCAAAGGTTATTGAATGCTAGATCAAGCACTAGATCAGATTGCCCAGGGCCCTATCCAACCTGGCCTTGAACACCTCTAGAGATGTGGCACCCACAGCCTTCCCAGGCAGCCTGTTCCAGCACCTCACCACCTTCACAGTGAAAAATTTTTCCCTGATATCTAATGCAAGTCTTCTCCTCCTTCATTTTAAAACCACTGTCCCTTGCCTTATCACAGTATTTTACATTACCACGCAAAAAGTTTCCCCCTCCTGTTCGCAATCTCATCTTAAATATTGGAAGCCTGCAATGAAGTCTCCTCAGAACCTTCTTCCCTTCAAGTGAACAAGCCTAACTCCCTCAGCTGTCCTCATAGGAGAGGGGCTCCCAGCCCTCTGAGCATCTTTGTGGCCCCCCCCCCCCCTCTGGACCCTCTCCAAAAGCTCCACATCTTTCCTGTGCTCGGGGCCTCAGACCTGAGCGCAGTACTCTGCGTGGTACCTCACAAGAGCAGAGAAGAGGGGGACAATCCCCTCCCTCACCCTACTGTCACCTCTCTGTTGACACAGCCCAGGTTACTGTTGGCCTTCCAGGCTGCAGAAGCACACCAGTGGCTCATGTTAAATCTTTCCTCTACCAATACCCCTAAGACCTTCTCAGCAGGACTACTTTCAAGTTCCTCTCCCAGTCTATATACATATCTGAAGTACCTTATGAAATTGGAGAGGCAATCCCACAATAAAGTTTTTTTATTTTTAGCACAAAATGCACTTAGCCTGCAATAGGATATTACTGAGCATGCAGAATTTGTGCCGATTCAGAAGAGGACTGGATTTTTTACTGGTAACAGGTCCATGGTGTTTTTAACAAACAGAAACAAAGACTAGAGCAGCAGAGTGCACAAATTTCTAACCAGTTTTTCAGCCGACTGTATGCACTCACCCTGCTCCAAGGAAGTGGCACAGACCCAACAGGAACCCTATCTCTTATTTCTTTAGATCTTGTCTCCTTGTTTTCCATGGCACAAGAATTTAATGGCTCAAACTATGCGAAGATCCTGATAAGAGTCTTACATTTAGCCACTCTTGCAGATAAATATCTTCTCTGACATCATGTCAGCTGTCATAGACTTACACAGAGTTGCTTTTCGCTCTAATTTCTTCTATTTTCTGTGTATTCCTTTGTACTGTGTTGACTGTGAATTCCTACATCTACAGCCACAAAGCAGCAGAAAGGACATCCCCTGACCCCACATAAATGTCCTCTCTATGAAACCCTTTAGCAGATCATAACCGTTTACTTCTTAGAAACAGGCCTAAGTAAGGAGACGATCGCTTCCTTCGAAAATAGAATGTTGTGTTCAGAATGAAGAGTGCATAACTCCAAAATGAAAGATACCCATCTCCCAGTCACTGTCCTGTGCTAGGACTTGCTGTCTTAACTCTAACATGAATCGTCCTAAGCCCAAACAGTATTTCTTTGGAGCTCTCTGGATCATAAGTGGTATGTCTGTTTATCCCTGCTGAGTCTCTAAGCGGCTAGCCAGGCCTCAAGCATAGCTAATAGAAATGAAGACAGAAAATGAACAGCTTACCTAAGGCCACAGTTGTCCCAGCTGATAAAAGTCATGGAATCTTAGCTGATGCAACAGTGTTCTTTCTCCTTCATCTGTACCCGCCCTCTCCTTCTGTCTCATTCCACAAGAACTAGATGAACAAATCAGGAAGGGAAAAGGTGGAGCAAATAATTTCATTTCTATCATCTTTCTCTCCATTCGTACAACATCAGCAACACCAGCAGCTTTGAATAAGGCCAAGAAATCTTCCAAATGGAAAAGCAAAAAGGCTGAGACAGTCACTCAGCAAAATCACCTGGATTATAGCATCTGTCTCAGAGCACCATGGCCGTGCTTGGTCTTTTTTGAAATTGTAGATCTTTGCTCAAAAACCTCAAAAGCAGATAGATAGGAACAGATTTAGAAAAAGAAACCAATACAGTCAGAAGCACTGACACTTTGCATCTGTGCTGCCACCATGTTTGCAATTGAAAGAAGCCAGTGGAAGGAACAGGCACTACGAAAAAATGACCATTTTAATTTTCTCAAATACCTATCTCTGGGTAGAGGTAGGATGACGCAACCAATAGTAAAGCAGCCTAAATTCAGGATGTCCGCGACCTGAACCTAACAGCAGTGTCCCAGTTTTGACAACTAGGTGAGTTTCACAGAGGTCAGTGAAACCAGCCTCTCCACACTACTGGAGTTGAAATAGCCCTCCATTTATTCAATACGCTCAGGAGGTCTATGGCTTGTAAGCCTATCTGGTTCAAGGTGAAGAAACATAACAGAAGGTATTACACTTTGAAAACAATACAGTGAGAAATTGCTTCCTGTTTGTATTCAAAGTGATCCAGCTAACCTCGTGGCAATGGGCCAGGCACAAAACAGGACCATCTACCTTGGCAACAGATCCATCCTTTAGAAATTTCTCTTTGCTTTGTGGCACAGCTGAAGCACACTCTATGGATTAGGGCAGCCCTAAAGGCTTCTGAGTCTCCTACAAGACAGTCACAAGTTGCCTTCTTTTTCCCCCCACAAATGACAATTATTACTTAAATGGATTTTTAATAATCACTCTCATTCCTAAGAAGTCAATTCTCCAAACCTTCAAATTCCTAGGCCTAGAGCTGAGATAATTTTATGATTTATATATTACTAACATGCAGAATGCTGTTTATCCGAAGTATCTTCTGACTGAACAAACTTCAAAAAAAGACAATTCCAGTATGCAGCACAAAGATTTCTGACTTCAGCACTTTGTAAATCGGCTGGATGTCCATTCTCTGAATGGAATTGTTATTCACTGGTCTATTCTCTAAGCTAATTGTGTTTTTTTAAGTCATTATTCTCCTGCTATATATAGCATTTTAACTTACATGAAACCAGACTATTTCTTCAAGAACAACGTAACACCTACATTACCCAGACCACGTACAAGACGCTGAAACTTAACTCCATGCAGTTTTCTTTGAGCTGGTCTTCAGATATACATTCAATCCAATCGTTAAGCCCAGTGCCAAGTTCTCAGCAAGTGCAGATCCAGCAGAACTACAATTTCACACTAGCTTTGCCTTAACGTCGCAGCTGTAAATACTAGTTTCATGACAAATAAGAGCAGACACTAACTGATGTGACAGGAGGTACATTAGGACCCACACGGAGTTACATTGCACAGAAATGTCCCATTCTGACATTCACAGTGAGCTTCCTGTGCAGAAATGACTCTGCAGTACACGCTCAGAGAGCACCCCCTCCTGGGGGCAGCACTGAAAGCTGATCTCCTCAAATGCAGAAAACATCTCCTACGGAACATCTACTGAAAGATGGATGCACACCAGAGGGGGTGGCTGAACACAGAGATAAGCACTGCAGACAACAAACACTGAAGCACTTCCTAAATTTGCAGCCAGTAACTTGTAAACCTCTCCATCAACCCCCCCCAACAGGATTTGACATAAATTCTCAAAGTGGGATTATAGCCTATGATGAATACTACAGATCACCTCCTAAAATGGGGAAAGCAGCCCACCTCTCCATATCTTATTACCTTAACCCTGAAAGAGTGAAAAGGTTTTTCAAAGATAAGCCAGATATTTAACTACCACTTAACTCCACAGTTGAAATGCCTTCTTATGCCTGGGCTATGAGGCACTGGTTATCAGTTGATTATTTCTACCCCAAAAGTTCAATTTCTCTGGCTACACTTTGTTATTCTGCTT